CTGAAGATTACATAGAGAGACTAAAGGAGCCAGTGGCTAAAACAAGCTAGCTTTGAATTCTTGTTTCCATAAAGCTCTGAAGACTAAAAAACAAAAAAACAAAAAAAATCGCCTACAAGCCACAAGTCCTAAAACAATTGGAGCAACCTCCTTTCTCCAGCTTGAACCATAGTGCATGGCTACTTACACGACCCTATTGAAAAGTCTTCCTATGGTAGCATTATGCAAAGCCTAATCATAGTAGTTTAGAAAACAATATAATTCAATATAAAGTACCCAAAAGAAATACTCCGTACTTGGGTAGATCCCATTGGCATATTCAGAGGGAATGATTTATTAAAGAATAAAATCCAAAGAAACCTGCCTAAAGTCTTCACAACGGTCACCCAGATAAAAACCACAAAATCCAGGGGTTTGAATCCCACAAACAATGTAGAGTACGAACATAAACACAACAAAAAACCACTGTAATCCAAGAAGTAATTCCAAGCAATAGGCAAAAGCAAAACAAAATAACCAATGCGCAAGCTTCATTTAGGTGCTGGAGGAGAAGTTGCCCAGAAACAACCTCGGTCCATAGTAAGAAAGGTTGTGAGGTAGTGTTATACTGTTATATACCTAAAGAAGAAAGAAATTATTCAATTACTCAAATAATACAAATTTAAATCTTCCCAAATCCTTGAATATAAACAGATTAAATGACAAATTGTAAATGAACACCAACAATCAAATCACTTCAAATTACAAATCCAAATCTATTATGTCCAAATTGCAAACACACATACTGAAAACTAAACTAAACATGAAGTTCAATATAAAATTGAAAAGGAAACCAAATAGAACATATAGATTAGAAGGAATCCCAGCTAACGTTATTACCAAACCCAATTTTTTTCCCATTGAAATCTGCAAAGGCATGAACGCTGCAACTTTACCTTCATCCAGATCCATTGTGCATCTGGTTCATCTAGGTTCCTTAGTCGTGTCCTCCATCTTCCGCAGTAAATGATAGATCGTAGAGACGAGGGTAGGATTCGAAACCCTAGTGGTCTTGGAGAAGGAAGAACAAAGAAGCAAAACCTAATCAACGCATCGCCAATTTCCTGGTCGCCGCCGGTCTTGGTCTGCGTCGATCGTCACTGAAGAAGTGCCGTTATCTAATTGAAGGAGTGAAAGCTCCTGGTTGATCGCCATCCTTATTCTGCTGTGAATCTACGATTGGGGTCTCTATGTCCCGTGTTTTAAAAATATACTCGTAAAAAATTACAAACAAAATCCCTCTTAAAAAGTTTATTCCCCATTTTTTGCTACGGAGTATTATTTTAATCTCCACTTATTTAGATGTAGTGGCAAATTTTTAATATTGCTACAATATGTCTTACATTTTGTGGCAAATTCTTAATTGCTACAAATATTTGTAGACCATGAGTCTATTGTGGCAACTATTTATTTTGCTACTAAAGTTTAGCTACAAAAAGTCATTTTTTTTGTAGTGCGTTGTTGGGTTTCCCTACATCGCTGTTTTACAATAGGGAAAAAAATTTGTAAAAATGGACAGCGATGTTGCAATGGTGGACATCACTGTTGAAAAACTTTCTGGTTTTGCTTGAAAACATTGTGTTTGGGAAACATCGATGTTAAAAAGTGTACAGCGCTGTTGGAAAAGATTCTGGAAAGCATAAAGGAAGAGATCTCCCTATGACAGCGCTGTAGGTGTATTGTACAGCGCTGTTGGCCCAAGTTGGTTGACGAGGTTCCCTTCTACAGCGTAGTTCGTCTCCTAGACAGCGCTGTTTGCATGGTTCCCCCAGATTTTATGAACGGGGTACCTGCAAAAAAGAAAAAGTTCTCCGACGCTCAAGTTAGTGAACGTTTAACAAGTGAAAATGCACAACTTAGATCATCGTGGAGTCAAGGATTCCGAGTTCACTTCGAATGCGGAAGAACGACTCTTTCTCTAAAGGTTTTGTGAAAATGTCGGCTAATTGGTTGTGTGTTTCAACGAACTCAATTTCGACATCACCTTTGAGAACATGATCTCTAATGAAATGATGCCTAATGTCAATTTGTTTCGTCCTTGAATGAAGAACGAGGTTCTTTTTCAAGCTTATGGCGCTAGTATTATCACAACGAAGAGGAACGTGATTGATACTAAGGCCATAGCCCACGAGTTGTTGCTTCATCCAAAGTATTTGAGCACAACAACTACCGGCGGCTATGTATTCCGCTTCGGTTGTGGATAACACAACACTGACTTGTTTCTTACTAAACCATGAGACTAGAGAACTACAAAGTAAGTGGCAAGTCCCACTCGTACTTTTGCGGTCCAATTTGCAACCGGCAAAGTCCGAGTCAGAATAACCAACGAGATGACACGAAGAGCCTTTTGGATACCAAATTCCAACATTAACCGTGCCGACAAGGTATCTCATGATCCGTTTCACCGCCGTTAAGTGCGATTCCTTTGGACACGATTGATACCTTGCGCAAAGGCATACGCTAAACATGATATCCGGCCCACTAGCGGTAAGATAGAGAAGGGATCCGATCATGCCTCGATACCTTTTGACTTCTACTTCCTTACCTTTCTCGTCTTTGTCAAGATGGTCAGACGTGCTCACCGGGGTCGCCACGGCTTTGGCGTTGTCCATTTCGAACCATTTTAAGAGCTCCTTGCAATATTTAGCTTGGCAAATGAATGTGTCATCTTTCATTTGCTTGACTTCGAGTCCCAAAAAGAACGTGAGCTCACCCATCATTGACATTTCGAACTCGCTTGTCATTAACTTTGAGAATTCCTTGCACAAAGACTCGNCCTCGATACCTTTTGACTTCTACTTCCTTACCTTTCTCGTCTTTGTCAAGATGGTCAGACGTGCTCACCGGGGTCGCCACGGCTTTGGCGTTGTCCATTTCGAACCATTTTAAGAGCTCCTTGCAATATTTAGCTTGGCAAATGAATGTGTCATCTTTCATTTGCTTGACTTCGAGTCCCAAAAAGAACGTGAGCTCACCCATCATTGACATTTCGAACTCGCTTGTCATTAACTTTGAGAATTCCTTGCACAAAGACTCGTTAGTAGCACCGCATATATTATCGTCTACATAAACTTGAACCAAAAGGATGTTATTGTTTTTACTCTTGATAAAAAGTGTAGTGTCAACCTTTCCCTTTTGGAAACCACTATCCAAAAGAAATTTACTCAAACGTTCGTACCAAGCACGGGGTGCTTGTTTAAGACCGTAGAGCGCTTTCTTGAGTTAGAAGACGTGGTCTGGATGCTCAAAGTCTTCAAACCCCGGGGGCTGGTCAACGTACACTTCCTCTTGAATAAAAACCATTGAGGAAGGCACTCTTAACATCCATTTGATAAAGTTTAAAATCCATAAACGAAAGAAGTAAACGAATAGCTTCTAAGCGTGCTACGGGTGCATAAGTTTCTTCAAAATCAATGCCTTCTTCTTGATTGTAGCCTTTAGCTACGAGCCTAGCTTTGTTTTTAGTGATTATTCCATTTTTATCAAGTTTATTACATGACACCCATTTCGTACCAATAATCGTACGATCATCGGGCCTTGGCACCAATTCCCAAACGTCATTCCGTTTGAATTGGTTTAGCTCCTTTTGCATAGCCAAGGTCCAATGTTCATCGTGTATTGCTTCGGAAATGGTTGTAGGTTCAATTTGAGAAACAAAAGCCATGTGTCCTACGGTGTCCCTAAGTGAGTTTCGAGTACTTACCCCGCGGTTGATGCTGTCGATTACCTGATCGAGTGGGTGGTTCTTGTTCGTTCTCCAAGCGACTGGAAGCTTGGTTTCTTCTTGTTTTTTGTCTTCCTCGTGTTCTTCTTTGTCCGCTTGATCTTCTTCATTTTCGACCATAACTTGAGGTGTTTCCTTAGTTTGCGGCTGCGGGTTGGTGTATATTGGTGTGTCTTCTTCATCGTCTTCAACGTGTATTCTTTCGAGCGAATCTGCAAGATCATCACAAATAACCTTTCTCTCCGAGCGAGTATTATCTTCCGAAAACACAACGTGAGGGGATTCCTCGATAGTCAAAGTATGTTTATTGAAGACTCTATAGGCCTTGCTACGTAAAGAGTAACCAAGAAAAATCCCTTCGTCCGACTTGGCATTAAATTTTCCCAAGTTATCTTTGCCGTTATTATGAACAAAACATTTGCAACAAAAAACTCGAAGATGGGAAAGGTTTGGCTTTCTCCCTTTGTATAATTGATAAGGCGTTTTCATGAGTATCGGTCGAATGACGGCTCGGTTTAACACGTAGCTCGCGGTACTCACGGCATCGGCCTAAAAGTACTTAGGGATTTTTGTCTCATTAATCATAGTTCTAGCCATCTCTTCGAGACATCTATTTTTACGTTCCACCACTCCATTTTGTTGTGGTGTACGTGGGGCTCAGAAGTTATGATCAATGCCAAGTTCGTCACACAAATCTAAAAATAGATTTCGTTCGAACTCTCCCCCATGATCGCTTCTTATGGCTATTATTGTTGTTTCTTTTTCATTTTGAACTTTCTTTAGAAATTTTTTGAAAACGTGAAATGCCTCACTTTTATGAGTAAGAAACAAGGTCCATGTAAACCTAGAGTAGTCATCGACAATTACAAACGCAAAGTAATTACCACCGAAACTTTTTGTTCTAGAAGGTCCAAAGAGATCCATGTGCAAAAGTTGAAGCGGTCTAGACGTTGAAACAACGTTTTTAGACTTAAACGAAGCCCGAACTTGCTTCCCCTTTTGACATGCATCACAAATGGTGTTTTTTTCAAACTTAAGTTTTGGAATGCCAATTACTAAGTTTTGTGAAACCAGTTTGTTCAAAAGGTTCATGTTCATATGAGCTACCCTTCGGTGCCATAACCAAGTGTCTTCCTCTTTACTCATGAGGCACTTAGCAAAGCCGGAAGGTGATTTGTCTAAGTTGAACATGTAAATGGTATCGATTCTATCACCACGTAGAATGACCTTATTGTCACTAAGGTGTTCTACCGTGCATGCATGATTTCGAATCGAAGGTCACATGATTTCCCTTGTCACATAATTTACTTATGCTCAAGAGGTTGTGTTTAAGAACTTTAACAAGCAAGACATTATCTATAGAGGAGTCATTGGATTTACCTACCGAACCAATGCCGATGATTTTTCCTTTTCTATTGTCTCTCAAGATGGCGTTCCCTCCTTTAGTGGGTTTAATTTGAAGGAACTTGGATGCATCCCCGGTCATGTGCTTGGAGCATCCGCTATCAAGGTACCAAAGTACACTTGATGCCTTCAAGCACACCTATGAAACACATCAATGAGTTTTAGGTACCCAATTCACGTTGGGTCCTCGTGTGTTAGGTGTGTGATGGTAGTGTGCTTGATTTTGTGATAGGTGCCTATGTCTAGTTTAACAAACGGGAGCAATATGGCCTATCCTATTACAATAATGGCAAACTACATTGGGGTTGTACATGTGCCTAGGTTCATAATAGTTAGAGGGTCTAATTATATTGTTCCTATTTTGTGAAAAAGATGGTCTTTGAAAGTTTTGAAATTGACCTTTTCTAGGTGCTCTAACATTATATTGGACAGAACTATGCTCGATGAGGCAAAAATTCCTAAGTATTTTTGGGCGGATGCTGTGAGTACCGCGAGCTACGTGTTAAACAGAGCCGTCATTAGACCAATACTCATGAAAACCCCATATGAACTATACAAAGGAAGAAAACCAAACCTCTCCCATCTTCGAGTCTTTGGTTGCAAATGTTTTGTTCACAATAATGGAAAAGATAACTTGGGAAAATTCGATGCAAAGTTAGATAAAGCAATCTTTCTTGGTTATTCATTGCATAGTAAGCCTTATAGAGTCTTCAACAAATGCACCTTAACCGTTGAGGAATCTCCTCATGTTGTCTTTGTCGAAGATGATGCTCGCTTGGCGAGAAAGGTTTCTTGTGATGATCTTGTAGATTCGTTGGAAAACATCTATCTCAACGACAATGACGAAGGAAACAATTCAAAGGAGGCACAAGATGAAGAAGAAGAGCCACCTATGGACGAGGAACAACCACGAGAGGAAGAAACGCCAATGCCAAGGGCATGGAGGACTTCAAAAGACCATCCTCTTGACAAGGTAATCAGTGACATCAACCGAAGGGTAAGTACTCGTAGCTCTCTTAGGGACACCGTAGGTTACATGGATTTTGTTTCTCGAATTGAACCTACAACCATTTCGGAAGCAATTGATGATGAACATTAGAACTTGGCAATGCAAGAGGAGCTTAAGCAATTCAAACGAGATGACGTTTGGGAATTGGTGCCAAGACCCGATAATCATACCATAATTGGTATGAAATGGGTGTTCTGTAACAAACTAGATGAAAACGGAATAATCACTAGAAACAAAGCTAGGCTTGTAGATAAAGGCTACAATCAAGAAGAAGGCATTGATTTTTAAGAAACTTATGCCACTACAAGAAATAAGGTCTTTAGCAACATTTAATTGGCCACACATTACTAAGTGTGGTAGAAAATATAACTCTTTATAATTTTGCTACACTTATAAAGGTTAGAAACAAATGCACGAGTATACAGCAGGTATAATATTATCGGAGTACTCCAGATTTAGAAATACTCCCTCCGTCCCACTATATTTGTCCACTTTCATTTTTACACACCATCCAATGCACTTCTTTAATCCATTTTATCTTGTAATTTGTATATTAAAAATTTATAAAAATTATATATTAATAATCTATATGTTAAGACAAATCAAACAAGATCACACATGACTATATTTAGGCTTACACATTGAAAGAATTTGATGAGTCAAAGTGCTTAGATGAACAGTTTCAAAAGTCAAAAGTGAACGAATATAGCTGGAAGTATAGTAGGTTTTAGAGAAGAGGCATTTTGCGACTTCGATCATCGATGGTGCCCTAGTTTCCAACAATGGGATGGCCGAAACTGTGCTACTCGTTACCATCAACGAGTCTATGAACTGGAAGGGAGGTACACTGGAAAAGGATTACACCACTGTAGAAGATCCACCACAAATCGAGAGGACGATGGAGAACGGCAAATCGGGAAAACGCAGAAACATTGAGATTCAATGATCGATACTTCTTTCAGAATCCAATAAAAAAGGTTTGATTTTCAATTCTAAGATTTCTGAGAGGGCGAGGTGGAGAAACTTTAGATTTTGGCTAAATCCTTGTCTGGTTTAGTGGCTTAGTTCTTGTTTTGAATTTCTAATTCGAAATTCATCTATTACCCTTTGAAACCAGAGCTATAAAGATGGTAATCGATCTTTCAATTTCAATTTAGACTCAAATGCTTCATGTTTCTTTTTTCCTCAAGATTGTTAAGAAGAATGTTAATGGTTATACTACTATAGGTTTGGCTTTAGGTTTTTCATAGCTCATTTTAACAAGACATGCCATTTGAATAAGAACTGTAAGGCTAAACCATCAAGTGAACTGACTGCAGTTGGTGTTGGTAAAGCCCCTGGGGTCACAGAAACTGACCTCAATCAGTCTTCTTTTAGAGTTGAGGTACCTTTGAGCATTGAAGGAGTGGCTGAAGATCCTAAGTTATGTAATTCAGGCTCAGGGTACCTTGATCACATTTGTCACAACTCTTTGACAGACAAAGTGAATTCATTGGCTAGCCCATATATTTTTAACCGTTTTTGTTAGGTCGTTACATTGTCCACTTGATTGCTAGAAAATTACACCCTTAGCAACGTGCGTTGGATAGGAAACACTTAAAAATTCAGGAGAACAGAGGCAAGGAACTTGGGTTTTTTTACCTTTGCTATTAGAGGAACTTCTTACAATTTCCGTCATATTTTGCTCAAATGTTATGCTAACTTATATTTCTACAGGTTTCATAGGAGGTAATCCATCTGACACGAACTCAAGTGGCATAATTGATTTAATATTTATTTGTGCAATTTGCATCCAAGTTAAGGTAGTCTCATGAACCTTGTCTGGTTTAAGTTTTTGATTTTTGATTTTTTGATTTTAGTTTTTAGTTTTTGGATTATGGTTTTTGGTTATCGATCTTAGTTGTACAAAGCCTAAACCATTTTTAACTTTAAACCATAAACCATAAACTCACATCCTCGATCACCCACGTGTACTTCACTTTTCAGGTTGTAGTGCTGCTACCCTAGAAATAATTGATGCAGAATTCTCCGCTCGTGTTATATGTTTAGTAAATGTGATAGATAGCGGGTTACATAGTGAGTATGCAGCTCAAAAAGATGTTTACAATTTATTGGCTCTTATTTATAGGCCAAACTAGTATATATCGTGTGTGCATTGCTCTTATTCTTCACTTTATTATGTTTGTGGTGCATTGTTTTTTATTGAATATTCGTGAAGAACGTTTACGCGCAAAAAAAAAAATTGGTCTTTTGAGCAACACCTTTATTCACCCCCCTCAAGAGGTGTGCAAGGCGTCTAACAAGTGGTATCAGTGCGAGGGAATTTCAAAGCTTTACTGCTTAAAATTTAAAAAGATCATGGCCGGAAGAACATTTCAACCCGGAGTTTCCGAAGGACAATCCACGACAAGGCCACCACTCTTCGACGGCACAAATTATGCTTATTGGAAAGAGAGGATGAGAATATTCATCCTATCAAATGATTATGATTCTTGGCTAGTGATCAAGAATGGAGAGACGGTTCCCATGAAGATTGTTAACGGGGTTCTTGTTCCAAAGTTAGAGACTGAATATACCTCAAATGACAAGAAGAAGATGCAACTAAATGCAAGGGCCATCAACTTTCTTTATTGTACCGTGAACCTGGATGACTATCGGAAAATCTCAAGGTGCAAGACGGCTAATGAGATGTGGAACAAATTAGAGGTCACATATGAAGGAACAAGTCAAGTGAAGGACTCAAAGATCGACTTACTCACCATCGGTACCCATGAGTACGAGCTTTTCATGATTATGGAAAATGAAACAATAGATGGCATGTTCGAGAGTTTCTCAACTGTCGTCTTAAATTTGGATACACTTGGGAAGCATTATGAGGATCATGTTCTCGTTCGAAAAATCCTTCGAAGTCTCACACCGGAATGGAAGTCTATAGTCAACCCTACCAAAGAAGGCCGAGATTACAATACATTGACATATGACGCACTTCGAGGTAAACTACTCACTTATGAAATGTCTAACTTTTCTAGTGCAGCGGAGATCAAAAGGGATCAAAATCTATCATTCAAAGGAGTTGCACTCAAAGCTTCATCGTCAAAATATGTCGAGACAAGTGGCTCTGGAGAAAGTGACATTCTCGATTTATTTAATGACTTCTTGCAAAATGAGCTTGAGCAATTGAACGAGAGTACAAAGCCTACTTGCTATGGATGTGGAGAGCGTGGAAATATCAAGGGTCATTGCCCTAATCGAAAATTAAAGAAGTCCAAACGCCGAAAGCAATCCAACTCTAGCTCCACTTCCTCATCCGATGATGAAGTAGCCATTTGTCTTATGGCTTAGAGTGAATCCAAAGAGGTAAGTTCTTCTAAAGATCCTTTTAGTTTTGAAGAACTACAAGAAGCATTTGGTGATTTATTTACAGAATTTAAGAAAGTCTCATCTATTGCCAAAGATTTGGAATATAAAATCACCCTTTTGCAAAAGAAAAATAATATTTTGCAAAAAGAAATTGATTCCCTCAAAATTGAAAATAAGACTTTTGAGGAGACTAATTTGAAATTAAATGATTCACCTTGTTCTTCATGTAAGTCTTCTAGTCTTGAGATAGAAGCGCTTAAGAAAGAGGTAGACGATTTGAAATTAGCTATGAAGAAAGTTGAAAATGAATTTAGACTAAAATCTACCTCTA